AAATCAAAATATTCAAAACATCTTATCCCACACGTTAGATAGAAAACAAAACAAAACACAACAAAACCAAGAAGAAGAAAAAAAGACTCTGAAAAAAAGAAAATAATAATAATCAAATTAAATCCTGTGTATTAGTTCATCCGTAACATCAATCATTATTTCTATAATTTTCGATCACCTTACTTTTCAACAACGATTTGAATTTGTGGATCGTCTGACACATCTTCAATTCATCACCAAGAGCGTTCCATAAATTCACCACCTTTTAACCAGAACAATGGCCTCCTACTATGCAAAGTGCAACCAATACATTTTGTATGTCCATCTTTGTAGTTGGGAAATGAGGCTGTGACATAGTGTCATAAGGACAGCCCTGTGATCATGTATGCTTTTAGTGCATTGTCTTCCTGATGTAGGTCAGTGTTTGTCTGTTCCACCCTTCTGCTGTCACCTAATGCAAACTTTTATGCCATGAATCGATGTCATCCAACCTTAACACTACAGCATACAAAAACAGCACAATAAAGCTTCTCATCAAGAAAAGAAAAAAAAAGGTATGTGTCTACGAAGTGTCATCTATCTAAGAATAGTATCACTACTGCAGCGTGACCACTTTGAATATGTACTGGTTGTATTCATTTACATTTATCATCTTTTCATTTTCTGCACTGGATTTTCATTAAATCTCCCCTGACAAATAAACTGAAAATACTTACATAACTCAAGAAAAGTGTTTCACTAATACTGTACTTGGACCTTTACTATCAGGTCTGGAAAAAACCTTTTTATGCGCAAACAAACCATTTACAGAGTCTGATGCTACAGTATGTTCTTGTCATGTTTTAACATGAATGGGAACTTGCAGTGCACTATGATATGATTAAAGAGGATCTAAGAATTTACCAGTGGTAAGGTTTTAAAATCCTTCCCAGTCTTTCCCAGTCATGTCGGCTTGCAACAAAAAGGAAAGCTATTGTTCCTTTCAAGCATCAAAGGCCGTGTTTCAGAGATGCTGGCAAAAACAGTACAGCTTTTTTCAGCGTCTCAAAGAGTCTAGATAGGCTACTGTGCAGCTGGGTCTTGAAGGCTTGGACTGACAACAAAATCAGACAAGGTTGTCTGCTGGAACAGACTGCTGACTGTATCATACATCAGTGCTGAATAAGTGAAAGGAAAAAAAAAGAATGTGTCTCCTGAAAATATGAGGGTATCAGAAGACAGAGCTGTTCTGAAATACAGCAATTCAGAGAGCTTTATCAAATCTCAATAGAATTGAGTTGCAGTAGGCAAACCAGACAGCCAAGGCTGTTTTGTACTCTTGAGCTTCAACACGCTCCTAAATTTAATGTACTAAAATGCTGATAAAATGGGTCGAGGTTCCCAAATGTTGGCCGTCTGCTCCCCCCAAGGATGTGGACTTCGGTAGCTTTGTTCCTCCTGATTGCACCTCATTTCCCAAATGCGCCACAGCTGTGGCTTCTGTTGGCCAAGAAATGACCCCACCTGTTTGCCCTCATCATGTACAAAATGACCCGTGAAGATGAAGATAGACAGCTGGCTGACATATGTACACTTCTTGACTGTTGGACCTTTTTGAACAATGTTTTAGGATAGAAACCTCAAACTTCTATTAATCTGTTCACCCCTTACTGAAGAGTTCATAAAATACAGCTCAAAACAACCCCAAAAGTCCAAATTGTTGATTCATTTCATGAACAAATTTACTTTCTCTCAATCAAATCACCTGGACTTGAACTTAGCACACGACACAGTGCTGAAGAGCTTTGTGGTTGTTTTTGCTCTTGGATATCTTAAAAGAGAACTCTGTGAATAAGACCTTGAGATGAATCATGGAGGCAAATGATGTGCAATTCTTGCTACTAATAGTGTCTGCAGTTTTAATAATTATCAGGGGTTCAACCAGTCTGGGGCTGTCTCAGGCTCAACTCCAGCATATATAGGAGTACCATTTTTGTCTCTTCCTTTTTTTCCCACCTAAACAGGTTACCTTGTGTTTTTTAGCTCTCTCAGGGAGTACGCTTTGATATTAACTGAAATGTGTCTCATCTATCCTGAATCAACTCCACTTTAAAAAGGCAAACACTCTTTCTTGTTATCCAGCTCAACATACATGTTAATGAAACTCCTGCTGGCAGGATGAGTGTACTCAGCCTTGGCCAGTAATTGAAAGCTGGTGTTTGTTCACTTGTAAAGAAATGTCATAAGTGGCATGACTGCAAATTCAAGAGCACAGGTGAGCACACTGTCACTGTTAGCAAGAAGAGTAAAAGCGTACCCCTTTACCACCTCTTTGCCTCTTGTTAGGTTGATTATGACTAATGTTGGTTCAGCATTTCTAATAAAGTGAATGCTGTCAATCGTCTAAAAAAATCTGAATCATAAACTAATCATTGACAGCTACAGAAGAGGATAAGGGTCACTGGAAAAAAAAAAAAAAAGGTCTGATAAAAATTGTAAATGTATTACTCTGAGAAAAAAAAAGCCAGAGTTCTGAGATTAGTCAGAATTCTGGCTTTGACCTCAGGATTTTGACTTTGAACTGAGAATAATAATTTAAAAAAAAATATATCGAACCTTTCTGGTTTTTTTATTTTTTTTTTATTTTTTTTTTCCAGGGACCCTAATCATTTCCCCTTTATATACAGTCTGTAGAATGAACATGGAAGTCCTCTGATGGGGGGCCTGAACCCCACCCAAAAAAATAAAATTAAATAAATAATTAAATAAATAAATAAATCAGTGAAAATCCGCCTCTAGGTGAGGTGGAAACTAAAATTGAGTGAAAAAGGGATATCTTTTTTAGGTTTTGTGTTGGTGGATGAAGCATGCTGAAATGTTTCCTAGTATGGCACTGTGAACCTATAGAATGAGGTCACTATCAAGCAGGTTAAAGTCTGAGCCTAGAGGGGTCCAATAAGAATTTACAAGAGGGGTGGAAAATAAACCATAAAAGGTATGCCATTTAAAAAATGCAATAAGAAAGGAAACTGCTCATTATTTTGTCAGATACACAAACACACACACACACACACACACACACACACACACACACACACACACACACACAAACTAGCCCATGATTTTATCATGCATCATTTGGCGCAGGCACCCCACACCAGATGCACATCAAATAGCACTGACAAAACTGTTCAGAAACAACAGCGCAGTGATGGTCATGAAATCCAAGTTTTAGTGTTTGCCATTTTTTTCAGACACACAAAGTTCAACCAAGCCAAAATTTTATACATACTCAAGCCAAGTAAAAAATTAAAATAACCCTTTTGAGGATAGTTCCTCTCATCTCCCCTTTTTTACTTAAAAAGGGGACCTGTGATTAGCCTCTTGGGTTACATACTGTGTGAATTGAAGCTTTGACTCTTTGCGTCTACTACTTAGCAGTACATGTGTAATGTTTTGCAATCAGTGTTTTGGTGTCTACGAAACCGTAACTGAAGACAGCGCTCATACTGTGGTATCAGAGCAACGTTAAGGTAATTGTGTGGCAATTAAAGCAGTGAGACAGCAGTTAGATGTGTTTGTAAGAACAATCGTAACATTTCAGCACAACACAGATGTACGCACACAAGTTGCTTTATGTGATACGCTTGGATAAATGTGTGGTGTGTAATTGCAGAACGGTTGACAAGACACACTCAACTCATTTTATGGTTGGTGGATATGTCCCATAATCCATTGTCCACATGAGCAAGTGAATGAACCCCATATGGCTCCCAATGCATGGCGTTGAGAAAGATAATTGTTACACTGCAAAAGTCGTCTCTCAAATGGAAGTGCAGCAGGGAAATTCAAACTATGTTACATTTTAGATTTCAATTAATGATGTGTAGAGACCAACTGCAATTAACGGGGGACATCCAAACTGCCTGGCACGTTTGTTTTCTTCCTGAGTTTGTGCAGATGTCAATGAAAGACCATTTACTTCTGGTGAGGCGTTGTGTAAGGGTTTGGTAATGCTGTTAAACTGCAACTTTGCTGTGTGTTTATTGTTTGTTGTTTTGTTTTGTTTTTCCTCTGTGTTGTTGTGAAGCACTTTGGATCAACTCTGTTGTGTGTAAAGTGCTATAAAAAAAAATTGAGTTGAGCTGTATGGTTGGGCGTGTGACACACGCATTCCCACCTGTTCACACGCTCACACATTGTATTTTTCACGCATTTAAATTACTAAATTACTACGGTGACATCCACCAAATTGCACCTCTCAAACAATGGAACAGGTAGGAATCAAGTCAGTTCCCCCGAGAGTTCAGAAGCTGCGTGCCACGCGCAAGCCAATAAAGAATTTCTACCGAACAGCCAATCAAAATGTAGCATTGGAGTATCCGGGTAGATTTGGAAGACGGACACTCGCCGAAATGAAGCAAGTTTCATAAGGACATACTAATTAATATACATTATCTTCAATCACTCTTCACCCTTGACCCTTCACCCCCTTGACCCCCCCCACACACACACCCCCCAAAAAAAAAATAAATAAATAAATAAAATAAAAAAATCTCACTCCAAGCCTAGTTCAAAACTTAAGAGCCCTGTATGTGTGACGATATGAGAGTGAAACAAATGGGAATTCACATAAAACCATAGATTGAAACAGTGAGAAATGTTCACCATCAAAAACTTGAACTGGAAACTTGAATTTTGCACAATATCAGGTAAGTGTTCTCATACACACGTGCGGAGTAGTCCTGGCCAATCATGTGTTAGCAGACTTTAGTGTGGGTGGGGAAAAAAAAAAGTGTGAATAGAGAACAATAAAAGGTGAAATACCAAAATCTATGATCAAAAGGGGCACCTTTTTAAAGTTTATAACTGCAGCACACAGGCTGTTCTAGTCAGGGTAGGTATGCTTGATGATACAACTGATTTGCTCAGCCTGTTGTTTAAGTTTTGACTGGAGGATAAATAATAAAAGGGACAAACCAAAATACTGAAGTTGGCATCCATTTCCTGGGCATAAGACCAAGTTGACCTGCCATCAGACCAAGATAGTCAATGTTTGCAAATGGCAGTGTTTTTTTTTTTGGTTTGTTTGCTTTTTTTTTGTTTGTTTTCTCCATTTTTTGTTTTGTTTTAATAGACATGTCAAAATATCTGTTTAATTATTGGTTACTCCCTTTAGAAAATGTGCCATGTACTTACCACAGTATGCTGTCTGACTGTTTTTTTCTCTTAAACAATGGTTGCAGTGAATGTTTGAGTCTGATTAATCTTTGACAATGGTCAGTAATTTTAAACAGTGAGAGCATTACCAGGGATAACCACATCAACACCCGACATTTCATCTCTACTGTTTAAAATTGGTGCAAAATGTTGGGTTTTCACTGCCTGAAATTGGTAAACAACATGGCAAAAACATGAGCTTTTGTTGGTTCACAAAAATCAATAGGCTTAACAATGGTATCCTTAAATACTGGATCACACTCTACAATCCAGGAATCTGCAAAAGGCTTTGTGAGTGCATCCTTAAGTTGCCAATCACTGTTATTATTCCTAGGGCTGAAATGATTTCTTGAATACCTCCAGTACCTCAATTATAATGAAGGCCTGCGGCTTTGTTAAAATACAGACTATCTATGCTCAGAGTTTTTCTGCACTGTGTATGGAAATCCAGCCATAGAACAATAATCAGACACACGCTCTAGACAGCCTTACACTCCTGATAACTTTTATTTACCAGTCTGTGCAGCTGTCATACTGATAGATGGGATCCTCAAAACCTTGAGGGAGTACTTGCACACTTATGTCCAGGCCTGATCCTGCACACCTTTTCTTTGTGTGTCCCAGTTCATGTGAAATTGAGGGCAGCTGAACTGCCACCCAGCCTGTCTTGTCCCCCCCAACAAAATCAAGGTTGAGGGTTTGATCCAAATACACTCAAACTAAAATACCCCAGGTGGCTGTGCTAGTGGTGTGTGAACACAGACTGTATACGCTATGGAAAACTTGGTTCCGCCTTCCAGCAACAGATTTACAGATTACATACAGATTTAAAGCCAAAAAGCTCTCGGTATTTCAGCGTTTTTTTTCTCCACTTCCTGAAACCAACAGTGCGCAGTAGAGTTGTACACACTTGGCGGGGGAGTCACTGAGTGTCACTGCAATGACACTTGGCTCAAACAGTGTATCCTCTGGGTAAGCTTTGAAATCTTCGTACACCCATAGACCGTATCAAGCATCAATCGTAGAAAACCTGAACTCCTGAATAACTTTTAAAAATAGAGCTGCATAGAAAAAGAGGACTTGAGCACAAACCAGTCTTAAAGTAACTACATGACAACATCACAAGCAAGAAGGAGAAAAAATATAATCGGCGTAATTAATTTCTGAAGTTTGTCCACAACTCCATAGGGATTGCTGGAGGAGGAGGGATTTATGATCGATACTGCAGACCATCACCAGAGTGTGCTGTTCTCGAGGTTTCTTCACCCAGCAAAGAGGCAGACAGCGTCCATTCTATATACAGTCTATGGGCTCTATTTCGTGCCCGCGAGCCACGCGGCAGAGGGTGGCGGACCCCTCGCAAGGACTGGGCGATTATATGATCGTGATTGATGATCGTGATTAATTTCAGTTCAATCACGGCAGGACTGCGCGTCACAACAGCCAATCTGAGTTGAGCTTTTCCTGCTCACTTCTGTAAGTTGCGGGAGAAGTAAACAGAAGAGGCACACAGAATGGCTGAGCGTGGGGCAAAACATGTAACAGATGGTAGTGAAGAAGATGTAAGCCACGGGCTGGAGTCACCCCCGAGGATGCCATTGTTGGAAAAAAAAAGTTGCTCAATGTTGGTTGTGTGGCGGTGGTTCGGATATCTCCTTAGTGACATCGAAAAAATAAAGCTGGTGTGTAAGGTATGTCGGCGTTCGGTGCCTTCAAAAACCGGCAACATGACAAATCTGTTCAATCATCTAAAGAAGTACCATCCAAGAGATTGTAGGGAAAGCATGTTAATGCAAGAGTCTGCACAGCCTGCCACTTCTGCTAGCACAAGTAGCATTAGCAGCTTAGCGTCAGCAAGCGGTGCAGCCACCAGACTGCAGCAACAATCCATCGTGTCATATTTTGCGGCCACCGCACTGTACGAGCATCATTCCAGGGGGAGACAAGCGATTACACACGCGATCGCTTTTTGTCTGGCAAAAGACATGATGCCTTTAAACTCAGTGGAGAAGGATGGATTTAAGCATTTGATCAAAATGCTGGACCCGAGATACGAAATCCCCAGCAGAAAATGCTTTTCTCAAACTGCACTGCCACAGCTGTATGACGAATGCCGAGGAAAACTGGAGGGTGAGCTCAAAGAAGTGTTGTGCTTCGCAACTACCAGTGACCTATGGTCGAGTCGCACATCTGAATCTCACAATACACTACATCGACAAGGAGTGGGCTCTTAAAAACACATGCTTGCAGACTGTGTATTTTCCAGATGACCACACTGCTGAAATTATCAGTCAGGGACTAGAGGACGTACTTGAGTCATGGGGCATTAGTGAGGACTGACAGGTGTGCATCAAAACGGATAGTGGGGCAAACATTGTGAAAAAGCTGTTGCTTTTCAAAGGCTGGACTTGGCTGCAGTGTTTTGGTCACCGGTTGCATTCAGCTATAGGTAAGTAAATGACAAGAAATTTGTTCCATGTTATGTTTAGCTATAAAAATAACACATATTGGTTACATATTTTATTATTTTAGTTATTTTTTTCATGACACTATATCTGTCTGAAACTATATCAAGTTTTTGGCTGTCCCTTGGTAACATTTGATAATAGTTCATGAATAACATTTTAAAAATGTTCAAAATAACATTTTGTTTTTATTGTTCTGGAGTTTTGTAGATTTTGATTTTTAAAATCTAAATATATTTTCTTAATTTATGTAAAATGTAATGATATTGTGATTGTATTAAGAATTTGTGATTAATTTTTATGTTTTTTACTTTTCTTCAGAGGGAAGCATGAAGGACAAGAGGATTGAGAGAGCCATCAGTGTGTCCAAGAAAGTGGTCAGTGCTTTTTCTTACTCATGGAAAAAGAAAAGGGCACTTGCAGCTGCCCAAGATGAACTCAAACTCCCAAAGCATCGGTTGATAACAGAATCCCCTACCAGGTGGGGGTCCCGCCATGCCATGATAGCAAGAGTACTGGAGCAGGGGAAGGCCATCGCAAAGGTTTTATCAGATGATCGTAAAAACAGGCACCTGATCCCCTCATGGCAGGACATTGATGTCTTGGAGTCTGTCCACAGGGCCCTGAATCTACTTGTCGACTTTACTGACGCCCTTTCTGCAGAAGCGTATGTCAGTGTCTCTTGTGTGAAACCTGTCCTTCAGCTCTTCAACGAAGATGTCTTAAAGCCAGAAGACACTGACACAGACCTTACCAAGACCATCAAGAGTTCAGTCACCAGCTACTTGAATGAAAAATTTGATGATGCTGCCACTGATGACCTCCTGTGCATGGCAACCCTTGTAGATCCTCGCTTCAAGATTCACTACATTCAGGCTGAAAAAGCAGAGGCTGTGAAAGCCAGCGCTGTCTCTCAAATGTTGGATAAACGTAAGCCATCATGGTCTAAGCCTTCTACCTCAGCAGAAGCTTCAACTTCAGCTACACCAGTGAAAGTACAGAAGAGGATTTTTTCATATCGTGAAAAGAAGTGCCTTTTTTTGCCAAATCGCCCAGGCCTACCCCTTGCAGTGGTATTTTCGTCTGGCGGAGCCCGGCGTACAGCCAGTTTGGTATTTTTGTGGACTGAGGCGCACCGAGGTCCGCCAATCTGGGCGTGGTGGCGCAGCAGGGGGAGGTGTCGACAGAATCAGCTGTCACAGTGACATTTTCGTGCCCGCCGGCGGCATAGAAAGTGCGCTGAAAGCTCGCCAATTCAAACCTGGTCAGCTTTTTGTGCAGGCGTAGCGCAGTTGGTCTAGTGGTATTTTGGTGGACTGGCAGCTAGTGCGAATACCTCACTGATGCTTCACCGGCAGGTTTCCACAGTGTCAGGCACATTTCAGTGCAATAAATAATTAACAACTAATATTCTGAGTCAGCACATACATTCAAATCTATATAGATATGTTCTGATCTATATCTGATCTGATGAGCGTGTTTGGCATGCGTTTGGACACGCAACCTGAATGAATCAACACAGCTGAAACCCCCCGTGTCCTCTCCCCGTCCTCCTGCAGCTGCTGCTGCGGCGGCTGAACAGATGATTTATTTTAGTGATCAGATGAGTTATTTACTGTAAGTCTACATACGAATATTATAATATTCAGTTTTGTGAGCCAAATTTATTTTTTGTGATCAACTTTTTTATTTCTTTCTTTTTGCTTTAGCTCATTACATCCATACCCATTGGCCCCACCCTTGTCCCAGGAGCAACATCAATCCCCAAAAAAAAAGAAAAAAAAAAGAGAGAGAGAGAAAGGGGGAAAAGAAACAACAACAGAAACAAAATTTACAGTACATACATGCTAGCTTATTTAACAAAACAAAACAAACCAAAAAAAAGTATTTTATATGCCAACATCTATGAAAGAAAGAGCCAGGCCACGGAGCGCGATGTGTCCTTTATGCACAGATGGTTCAGATTTTAATGGCATTATTGGAATTTATGTTGTGATCTGTGCGCACAACCCACTTTTGTCACGTGAGTTTTTAATATATGCAACTTTATGTAAGTATCTTGGAAAAAGGGTGGAACAGGGTGTTTGACTTACCAGTGGGTCCAACCTTACACACACAAATCCATCTGTGCTCATATGAGAGAGTGTGGAGGACGCCCTTTGCAGCGCTTACAGTGACACTTGTTTAGGGGCTGCCTTCTGTCGCCATCGTGTGGCGTTGCTGTCTTCAGACATATCTTAAGCTCTTTGACTTGAAAATTGTAATACGCCTTGCAAGTGGCGGATCTAATGGCAAGGAGAGAAGCGGTTCTGATTGGCGAAAACAGGTCTCGGCTGTATTAAACCCACTCCATGCCCTCTCTACGACTTATGCCACTGAGAGGAGCTGAGTTACGGAGGAGGGATACTTACGCCGGGCTGCGCCGCTCACCAAAATACCAAAATGTGCTTTAGGCATGCCTTGTCGGCGCAGCAGACCTGACTCATGCCGCGCCTACGCCACGTCGCTGGCGAGGAAGAAAAATAGAGCCCTATGTGTGTGAATGGTAAGGTCAATACTAATGAGCAACCTCTGCCATCAGTGAATGGACATGCGTAAATGGGACATAATGTAAAAGGGACTTTTATAAGACAAGAACCATCCCTGCATAAAACTAAGTCCATTTAGCATTTTTACCATCTCACTTCATGTAACTCTTGCGGCATATGCAGCATGCTACACATTAGCACAATACATCAGACCTCCTGTTGGGTGTACAGGAAGGACACCACCAGTGCGATCCTGGCAGTGGCAGTGGCCTTTGAGCTGCCCTGTGGCATGTTTAGCAAATGACCATACTTAAACACGGAGGTCATTATGTTGCTGTACTGTCTAGGGATTGTTGAGCAGGGTGAGGAGCAAAGTTTTGTGTAGATAACCACATGCTCAACTAGGGTCACAACAATCACAAATATACTATGAACACACCATCACGAGTGTTATGAATGCCATTTTAGTTCTGATTTGTTTGTGGATAGACCTCCAAATACTGTAACTAGTGGTGTGTCGGTCTTGAACGAACGGATCAAAAGAACTAGTTCTTTTTGATGAACGAAATGAACTAGTTCTCCCCCTCTAAATGACCCGTTCAATCCGTTCAGTTCTTTTGATTGGCTGAAGAGGGACTGCTTGCCTGTCTTATCCTATCGTCGCGCCTCGTTCTGTGTGTGGGTGGGGCTTAGAGAAGCAGCAGCAGTACTACTGATCTGACTGAAAGACCGGGATGACCGAGTTGACTGAAAGAACGGGTCAAATGAACGAAAGACCGAGTTGAACGAAAGACCCAGACTGATGAACGAGTTGAACGAAAGACCGAGTGAACGAAAGACAGAGTTGAACGAAAGACCCAGACCGATGAACGAGTTGAACGAAAGACCGAGTGAACGAAAGACCCAGACGGATGAACGAGTTGAACGAGAGACCGAGTGAACGAAAGATCCAGACGGTGAACGAGTTGACTGAAAGACCGAGTGAACGAAAGATCCAGACAGATGAACGAGTTGACTGAAAGACCGAGTTGAGTGGCCGCCGCACGAGGCCCGACAGCCGAGCCGGAGCGAGCGGGACAGTCACACACACGCAAAGGCACACAGCTGCTGCTGCAGCCAGAGGCAGAGAGACAACTATTAATACGCATTTGCACTGTCTGTTGACATTTTGTACTTTTTATTATTGTTTTTAATGCACCTCAAAATAATAAAAACCATTAAAAACCTTATATATTTTGTTACTCCTACTATAATTTTATATTACAAGTAGTGCAGTGAGATCGCAGCGTTGGACCGGGTGGACCGGGGGTGGGAAGTGGAGAGTGCAGCGGTCACAGCGTCGGACCGCGCGGGGGGGGAACGAGCGGACTGACAAATGACCGAAATGACCGAAAAGAACGAAATGAACGGGTCTTTTTACTGAACGACCCGGAATGATCCGGTTCACTGAAATGACCGGTTTTGCCCACCACTAACTGTAACTATTTCTGTGAGAGGAATGATGTATAACATAAATGACTAATCTCCCCTACCACTAATTGGACTGCTTTCACAAAATTACAAAAAAAAATATACACTAAAAGCAGTGTTTATAAATATACTGCACTGTCACAAATGTGCTCTTTGTTAATGCCAATGGATTTAGAAAGAGATGTTAGATAAATGCAGGCCGATGTGTTTGGTAGTCTTGTAATTTGGCTGTTTGAAATAATGTTTTTTGTTTTTGTTTGTTTCTTTAAATCTAAAACCTCTTAGTAACTGGTAAAATGGACTGTTTTGTATCACACTTTTTCAAGTTTTTAGCCTTTGTGATTTATCACATTTACCAATTCACACCGTATTCATACACTGATGATAGACGCAGCTATGGAAAGTCCCCACCAATATTAACTAGTCCTGTTTACACAACACAGACAAACCCGCCGTTGGAAAGTTTGGGTTTAAGTGGTTTGCAAAAGGACTTGAAGGCAATAAGACTGCTGGGCCCACAACCTACACCTTCATTAGGTATATAGTTTGTTGTATTTTCACATTTAATTTAACAACTTGAGAAAATGGCTTTTTTAAAATCTAAATTAAAGAAATGATGTGAAACTTCTGAGTGCAATGGCTGAATGTTATGAACCAAATGTCATACACCAAATTGTGTGGGTTTACAATCAATGGGGTACATGTGCTCCACTGAACCCCTATTCAGATTTTTTGCTAGCTCTGCACTTTGTTGTTTTGTGACCTCATTAAGCTAGGGCCTGTCATTAAAGAGTTTATAGCAACGTCCATTTGATCTCCCTCTGACGCTGACACATCTACACACTCACACACTCATTGGTGGGGCGGTTGGCCAGTTGAAGTGAAGTGGTTGAATGGAAATGACCTCTCTGGAACCTGCTGTTACCTGAGGTCCTTTGGGTCGCACTAGCATGCCCTGCGGCAGCAGAGTTAATGGGATAGCAGCAGGACTGCTGATCAGGCACACTAGTGGCATGCACCACACCACACTACACAACTGCCTCACACATACTCACACAGCAGCAGCAGTGTTGGCATGTTCAGATACTTTCACAAAGGAAAAACTTGCCAAAAAAGGGAGAAAAAGCAGAACATGCGGCCGACATCATTAAAAGAGGACCGACTCAAAAGAAAGACACACACCCCCCTCAGGACTGTTCAGGACAGGTCTGTTCCACAAGCTGCACCACTTTTACAACTCTCCCAGCACAACACTTGCTTCAATGCACTTGAGCAGACATGTCAAACTAAGCTGCAGCACTAAAAGATTGGCAGTCCTATAGTAGCATCCATAAGTGCCCGCAGAGTGCAGCTTTGTGAGAAAAGAGGGACGCCTTACCATTCTTAACCCATGAACCAGTGTTGACCTCGGCCGTCCTGTCAAACACTCAAAGTAAAAAGTAAAACTGTCCAAACTTCTAGGAAACTTGGAAAATGTGAATGTCATTTTGTGGCTGGCTTGTTGTGTTTTTATCTGTTGTTTTCTGCGTGAGTGAGCAATTATGGGTGAGCAAATCCTGCTTTATGTTAATGACAAGCCAGTCATAAAGCTTTTGAAATGGAAATGCCTATAGTAGAAAGAATAACTGGGCTACAGCTTTCATTAAAACACAAATGGGATCAACAAAAAATGTGGAGTTCTTGCAGAATAGAAAGAAAGTGTAATAAAAACTTTTTTGTTGCATCTGAGAGTTAAAAGTCATGTACATTAATATCTGGTACTGCATGCTTACAGAACCTCATCCAACAGACTTTCCTGTCTACTTAGGGTTAAAATCAATTACGTACGCTTTTTTTTTTTTTTACTTTACCATTTTTTTGCATTAGAATAAGCTCAAAATACACAGATCAACGACAACAAGCCCTGAACTGTTCATAAATGGACTCCACCAGACTTCTGAAGGTGTGTATACAACACCAATTTGTTGGCAGATCTTTTGAGTCCAGTAAATTGCAAAGTGGGGCCTTTATGAATCAGACTTGTCTATCCAGCACATCTGAGGGATCAAACCACACAGGCCAGACTTAGTTCCCGATTTGCATTAATGGTGTTATGATAGTTATAGTCATGATAGTAATAAATTAACGAGTAATGTTGAGGCTTCAGCTCAGTGTCATCTGCTTAGGGAGCAGTGACAGTCTGTGCCATGCCTGGGGGTTTTCCAAAGGGGATATGCATAGAGAGTGAAAAACAGGGGACCCAAAATAGAACCCTGGGGAACCCCACAAAAGAGAATACCAGATTGAGAGAAAGTTTTTCAAAGCATTACACAAACAGACTTTTCTGACAGATAGAAAATCTGTCAAGTGCCACATCCCAAATATTGGCAAAGTATTTTAGAAATGACATGTGAAAGTCTTAAAAATTTCAGCAAAATAAAGTTCAGTTTCTTGTTCTTAACTTTATCAGCCACTTACTTTTGCTCCGTTTCTCATAATAAACAAGCAAGTTTGATGCAGGCTGGTATATTCTAGGGTGCAGACAATGTTGTAGCTCAGCCAGGTGTTGTGCTGAAAATTAGCTGCTTCTTTCTGAAGCTGTATGTCCACACTTCCCAGGCTGGACATGGAGGTGCCTCATTACTGTGGAATAGCAAGCTTGCCTGCCGGTGCTTGATATATTTTTTAACACTCATACTTATGTTTGAGGCTAACTGGTCCATCCAGAACATTGTTTAAGTCCCACTGTTTTTAAAATTATAGTGAAATTGAAGCACTACATTTCTGTAGCTATTAAAGACCACACAGACTTCCATTCAACAAGGTTCAGGTCAAAAATGAACCTATGTGACAAAAATTCTTCATGTTTTCTGTCATGATGCCATAGCACCTTGTCTCTTAAGCCTCAATTTGTCTTCTCCCACTGATAACTTTTCACACCCTGTCATCCCCCACCTGTCCAACAGTTATCCTCAGGGAGTTTCTAGCTTTGCAAATCACCTGACCTTTCTGACATGCACACCTGTTACCCATCCCCTCATTTACACACACCTGTTCTTCATCCATCCCAGTGCACCAACACCAGCCTGCATTTGGATCCTTGTATCTGTTGCCATGCAACGCAACATTTCAGAGTGGTCATATCTATTATTTATATGTTTTTTAATGGTAAAATAAGGGTAAATATTATTTTTTCCATAGTCAGATAACTTACCCTGGTCTTCTGTATGTCTGTTCTGTTATATCATAGGTAGTGTGAGGTGAGCAGCGGTCTAAAGTTGGACATTTTCCACAGTACTAGCCAGATTCAGAAACAAACATCTCCAATTATTCATGAAGACTGCAAGAGTCTGCTCAAGTTTTGAAATAAACATAATGTAGATTATAAAAGAAGTGTTGAACAAAAGAAGTGCAAGAGTGGTGACGGTTTGGGGTTAATTATACAGTTAGAGCACTGCATGCAAAGCTTTTCCCCAATCATAATAAAACTGAATTTTTGATTAGAATTACTTTATTTTGGCAGTGGAGAGATTTGAGGAGAAAAGGAATTAAGGATTCTGCCCTGATTCGCTAAAAAGCCACCATTAATCTTGGTTTATATCAATAAACCATTTAGCCTGCAGTGATATAATGCCCATAATGATCGTCTGGGGCTGAGTTTTATAACATCAAATACTTTTTTGGCTGTGACTAAGAGAGGGAAACTGAATAATCTTTCTTCAACATAATGTAAAACTCTGAATAAACTTAAGGGGCTTTTGGTTTCTTTGAAATTGTTAGTTGTGATCTTTTGAGGTCAATGTGGAAGTATAAGCCACCAGAAGAAAACATTTATTTCCGACTTTCAGAAGAGGCAATTCTTTCGTTTGGTCTAATTTTACTGTAGCAGCTCACCACTCTAACATACCATCATCTCATCTTCCTCAGGTTTCCCTTTCAAAACTATGCCATAAAAGTCAGATTACATAGTTGTCTTGAAGAATAATGAATTATAAAATGAATAATTATAAAGTTAACAGACTGTTGAGCCAACAATTTTTCCTCTAACACAGGCTATCAATTTTGCTACAGTGTCAACAGGCAGTAGTGAAATAAGACAGCTTTGTCTCTGCAGAGTTATTATATCATGTGGGATCAGGTAGTCTCTGGTAACACTTAGCTGTTGAGAACAAAAATACTCTAAGTATGGGGTAATGACCAATCATGATCAAGTATTTGTATACAGTTGAGTAATAAAAGCTCACAATAATCATTTGCTCATACTCAGATATAACAATTACTGTACAGTTTCCACCATAGATCTTGAATTATTCCATTTGCCACATTGAAGCATGTATTATATAAGACAATTGCAACAAAGACAGAGGTCAAAAGATCACATATTAAATGGTTTATTGAAAATATAGACAGCCTGGAGGCAGAGTGAAAGCAGCACAAACAGGCTGGCATAAAGAGGATGGTTTTATCAAGCTTATGAAA